AGGGGCCGGGGGAGCGGCGGCTGAAGGCACCCGGTCCTGAAACCCAGCTGCTGGCAGGGCCTCAGCACGTGGACGAGCTCCTCCTGGGCCACGCGCGCCCGTGGCGCTCTGGGGTGGCCTTGCAGTTTCCTTTTTTGGATGAGCGGCTGCACCAGCGCGTCGGGGACGGGGCAATCGTTTGCTTGTTTATGGGAGTTAAACACCTCGAAACACCTTGCTTCACCTAGCAACCACGTAGCCACAGCCCCTCGTGCCACACTACCCCTCGGGATGCTCCGGCTTACACCCGGTGACGTGTTCCGCACGTTACGGCAGAAGCCAAAACAAAACACTTTAATTAGACAACTGCAAGCACCTCAAACAACTGGTTATTGTTACAGCATGGGGCTATCGTCTCACAATCTAGTTATTGCAAAGGCATGTGAATAGATTCCGTATGGACAAGGTCAAGAAAAAAAGTGGCACCGTCGTTACATGAAGATCAGAAGTAAGCTTACATTCGTCCCACTGACGTCTAAAAGAGGCCCGAACACCCCTCCGTACTGTACATTCTAAAATCTGTATTGCCTATAAGCTCCAGCCTACGCAGCTGCTGTTTTCCTAGGAAACACATAATTGTTGCGTGCAACTTACAACGGGCAACCGTAGGTCTAGGTATGGGGGAAAACCAAAGCTAGTGCAATTTGTTTTAGAAACGTGTAAAGCTATGAATGGAATGAGCATGGCCGCGCTGCCTGGATTGCTTTACCCACTGCACTGTAAACACTTGCAGCTGAATCCTCCCTTAACTGACTCCAAGCACACGCTGCTGTTATAAAAGATCAGGAATTCTACACAGAGAGTGGTTCTCATGCTCGGCTTTTAATTTTTTTTTTTTTTCCTTAAGGTATAGTACAACTTACAGTGCTTATAAAAAGGCAACACCATATGGTACCATGTCTTCACTATCACATTGTAAGGGAAATTGCTGTTTTTTCTTTTCTTAAAAGCACTTAAAATAGGCAAAAGTTCTAAAAGGGAGTGCTAAATGATTTATTTATACTTTATTAGAAAGAAGTCTAGCCTTCCTTTAAAGTGCCGTTTGGGGAATGAAATCCTGTAAACCAGAGCCACTTTGTTTAAAATCCAATGAACGGGAACTGCTACAGAACAGGAAGTTTACACGATTCCTTCAGGCAGTCTGAAGTCCACTACATGCAATTGGTTCGCTATAAAGCTCTCTGAAACTCTGTCGCTTTACTCTCAAATTGAGTCCCCGGTCCCGTATTTGAATGGCAATAAACATTTACAGGGAGCATTTACATACACTATAATACAAGAACGACGTCCCTTTGCCAGAAGATAAAATTGTACAATTCCTCGCCGTAACTCGGTTCTGACTTGATAAATTTCTTACGCTCGTAAATTATATAATATGCATCAGCTAAAATATTATTTTTTTTTTTCATAAATAGTTACAAAACTTGCCAAAACACATGGGGGGGAAGTTTCCTTTGTTCAAAAATCTGACATCTGAATGCCACACAACACAAGAAACAATGCTCAGAGACACGTTAAGTGTTTTCTGAAGAAAGTGGGTGAGGAAGCTACTAGCTGAGGACAGAAAGACCACCCTTCCCCGAGAACACAGTGCACGAAAAGCAAAATGTCAAACAGTACCTCAAGCAAAATAAAGGTCTGAGGGTTGAAGCCAGCTCACGTGTGATCCTGCTAACGAATTTGTGACAGTCACCATTTAGGTCCGATGCATTGGAAAGTGGTTGCTGGCTTTTTTTTTTTTTTTTTTTTTTTTTTACAGCAGGGAGATTCTGCTAAGAATTCAGCCACGGATGCCTGAGGCATTCTCCAGCTGAAGCACGTTTTTCGGGGACCATTTCTAGCATGGGGATCAGGAAATCTGTAAACTGTGCAGCATCTTCGTGAGGCCAACCATACTTCTCCACAAGCACATCAAAAAGACTCCAAGGTTTCAGCTTGGTAATGTGTCGGAGCTCTCCTGCAAACAGAAATGTTACTGGCGTTAGAAAAATACCTCGTTGTCCCTGTTAGCGACTAAGCCCCGTTTCGTCTTTCTCCCACTCTGCGTTCACAGCACCTTGACCAGGCTGAGAATCGTTATTTAGGAAGGGCGGCACATGGCAAGCTTGCTCGAGGTCCTCAAAGGAGATGAGTCCATCCGATGTCAAAACCAAGAACTCATTCCTACAGCAAACCGTTACGTTACACCGGGACTTTGCTGTATCATTTCTGATTTTTCCCGCTGTCTTCGTTCCGCCTCCCGCACACAAAAGCACTCAGTCGCTCGCGCCGAGGGCAGAGAGCACCACGGGCCTTTCCTTCTTAGTCAGCCAACAAACCCAAATCTTGCAAAAAACGCTCCAATCCTAAAATGGAGGTCTCTGCAACGCAGGTCACCGCCTCACTACACGGCACGCGCCGACAACGCAGCAGAGCAGCGATGCATCGCAAACCAAGCCAAGCACAGAGGCTGGGCACTCACAGACTCTGCTCCATCTCCCAGGCACGCTCACCCAAGAGGCCACTCCGAGTCCTTCCTGAGAAGGAAGCGCCTGCCGCTGCCTCCACCTCCTTCGACCCACCACCAACACACAAGCGGTGGCAGCAGCTGCGGGATTTGGGTTCCATCCAAGAGGGAGGGAACGTACAGCAAGGCGTTTCAGACCAAAACACACCAAGGAAGGCAAGAACCCTTCTGCAAATCAAACCAGCAGCATTATCCAGGTCTATCCACAGCTCATCCGGCACGATGGGGAAGAGACTCGTCCAGCTGCTCCCCGCTCCTCCATTGCCGTCTCCCTTCTTCCCAGGCATGTATCTGAGCCAGAGAGTCTCCATGGGACCCTACAGAGACCCCGTGGTGACTCTGTGACGTGCCCTGCACTGAGGAGGGAGATGGGCTCCCAGCCCACGCTGGAAGCTGAACACGGCTCACCCACGGCCTGACCAGCACGTTACGCCATCCGGCACAGGGGCACGGCGGCCATACTGTTCTTAAGTGGGTTGGCAACCTGATTGCTGTCTCTGGCTGTAATCTACTGCCCGTACAATGCCGTCAGACGTCAGCTCGCAGGCCTGAGTTTCTGTACATCCCCATGGCTACACAAGTTCCGGGGCGGAAGAAACCCATGTCTGCAGACTGCCCCGAGAGCCTGCGCATCGGAACGCGACAGACGACAACCGCCACGGGCGCAGCAGGACACGCTGCTGCTCCCGCGGGCCACAGCAGAAGTGTCCGGGCAGGCTGCGACGCTGGAAAAGGCAGCTCTCGGGCTGCCATCATAAAGACCCCAAAAGAGCAAGTGTGCGAAGGGCTGATCACTCGCAAGAGAAAAAGAAGAGATCTGCTGGTAACAGGAAGTCAAGACGTGCTGCCCACAGCTGGCCCACCGTCCTCTTTCCATCTCGCAGGGTAGGAGCGGGGCTGAGACAGAGAGGAATGAAAGCAGAGGAGCTGTCCTGCCGGTTTCTGTCCGTACATTCACAGTACAGGCGCATTCTGTCAGTACCTGCCAGCCAAACAAAAAAAGGCTCTGCCTCGGGCGCACGCTGACCCACAGTACCAATGTACAGAAAGGACAGCACCTCTCGGAGAAGTGCGTCCATTTCCAGGCTCACCCTCCGCCCTTTAAAAATCTTTGTGTGACTCTGAAATGTAACTGCCGAAAACCTTACCCTTTTGAAGGTTTCCAAAAGTGTGTATTGGTGACTGCTAACAAGAATTAGTTAATAAGAACAGGCAGTAAACTTTCTAATAGGGACGCATAAACTCAAGTATTGCCAAAAAGTGGTAGAAAACAGTGACTCGTTATGGACTGCGAGCAAAAAATGGCTTAAAAAGAAAAATCAGGCTGTGTCCAGACCTTCTCCAGCTTACAGCATTTATTGCAAGGCCTGCCACAATCATTTACCAAACTAGACTAACTTTGGGGAGTGTGTGTGTTTCCGTGCAGCACTGTCTCCATTTTGTATTCAAATCACATCGTTTTAGGCATCATTGCTCCCTCAGGTTGTACAAATTAAGACCGCAAGATGAGGCTCCTGGTGTCCCCGCACAAGCTGAGTCCACACTGTTTGAATACTCTTCCTACTCTGTAGAGTGGAGGCTGAAACACCCAAGCTAAGACCTGGGCAGCACAACATTCTGTCATGTTTTCTGGTGAGGAACAAACTATGTTAGCACTACAGGCTGAAGTTTTCCACAAGAAATTCCGTGAAGATTGTGAAAGCATTTAAGAAGATGGGATAATGAAAAAATTACCTGTGCAGGGGCTGAGAATTAAACTAGTGCTTCAGTATTCAATGAAGATCGTGATGCTGACCATGGAATCAAAATAGGGGAAGTAAAAGGCAATTAACACAACTGAGGTGGATGAAACACTTAAAAGATCTATTTTAATGTGGTGGGTCCACCTCATTTCCATCCTAAAGCGCTGGAGAGCAGCACAGGAAACGGAGGTGTCTGGCAACATGTGTTTGCACCTAGTTGGCAAGGTTTGCACCATGTAGGTGGAGGTCAGCAAGGCAGTACCTGTATTTAAGGGAGAAATGAAAAGCACAGGCCCACCAGTCCAACACCATCAGTATTCAGGGCTAAAAACTTAACAGTAAGTGAAAACTTCCTAACAGAAGCTCTTTGTTTAGATTTTTGATAGTGAAGCACATGGGAAGTATCTGGAGAGGGCATCGAAGTTGTCAGAACTGTAAAACCCCTATGGCCAAAGCAGAGGCAGCAACGGACCTTCCGAAAAACGGAATGTTAGGTCACAAGGAAATTACTAAAGAAATTTCTGAAGGACCGGGGGAGGGGGGAAAGGGGGGGAGATGCTATTTAAAGCTTTCTCTGCTGACTGTAATAAAAAACCTGAGCTAGTCTATGAGATTTGTCAAAGACAAATTTAAGATGTGTCACCAGGCAAGAGGAGGATGGATTACGGAACAGTAAGAAACGGATGACATGAAGGACTGGGGAAGCAGCAGTGGGATATAATCTGCTACTGCGTATTCTGAGGACGTGCTCCCGAGAACTAAAGCAAGAACTGCTGGTGAGGCCCCACACTACAATAGATGGAAGCGAGGGAGGTGGAGGAGAGCCCTCTCCTTCCCTTCCAGGACATTAAATAAGCAGCAGTGCTCTTCCTTGCTACAACTTCCAACGGGCAAAGCCAGCACCTAGCCAGCACCTCACACAGGTTTAGCCCACCAGGAAACAGGGCTAGCAAGTACCAGAAGAAAAATAAAAGGGACCACAGTCTAGAAAAAACAAGAGGGTTTTAAGTTTTAGTGCCAAAATGTGTTAATCATTTTTACAGACAAAACAGCTTCCACAGAGGCACTGGAGAAGACGACTCATTGGAGTTATTACTGGGCTCAATCAAGATGAGACCCTATAAAAAGTACATGAGCATTCATGTTAAGAGTGACTAAGAAGTAACTTATAAATGCTTTTTCCTTTTTTACATGCACCATGTACATTTGAATGTCACAAACTGCTTCAGGCAATTACTGAGAAGCAGGGACTCAAATCCTGCAAACTCGTTAGTTCAGAACACCTTTCCTCTTGTGTCCGTGACTGCAGTGGAACAACTCAAACGCTTAAAGCTTTTCTCTGAGGTTGAACTTGCTTATGGACAGAAGCAAAACCCAAATCGTGGTTTTTTGATTTTCACCCAGGGATGAGGTTTTCAAAATAAGAGCCTACAGTTCGATTCCTAAGCCCACCTCTACCCCACAGTGTGAAATTTTCGGAAGAACTTCAGGCCTGTGCTACATGGCCTCTGATCTCAAGTGCTCAGGCCGCAAGCAGATGGGTACAAAACGCGGCAGCCAACCATGAAGCCATCACGCTCTGCCAGCCCATCAAAAGCAAATCCCTCCTGGGGGCACCAGAGAGGCTGGCAGTACTGGGGTGGCCAGGAAAAAGGAAAAGGGTATCTGATCCTCGACTCAATGGAAAAATCTCAAATGAGTGAGCAGTCCGCACAGTGTTTCAGTTTTCCTGACTTGCGGCAGTCGAGTAACTGGTATTATTTGAAAATGCGGCTTGGGCTGTTACTCCTCCATCTTGCATTCGAGATTTTCTGTTTTCAGCAGAACAGCTTCCACAGCAAACTGGCACTTAACATTTCGTGTGCTGGGTGAACCAAATCTTTTTAAAAAGTGCTTAAATCCCACCCAGAGCCATAGCAGGCAGCGCCTCTAAGGACGTCGCTGAAGTTCAGGCCCTAGAAGACAGCGGCGACACTTTGCAGTGGAAGATGCTCGTGGCAGCAAGTGAAACTCTCCGTTTCACGGGAATTTTACAAACCGGTCTCTTCTGTGTGCCACAAACATTTTCAAGTTCAGCACCTGCCTCTGACTGTGGCTAGAGGAAGGGGGGGGGGAGGGCGGGCAGGGAGCCTTTCTGCAGGCCCTGCCCCTCACTCCAGCAGCTGCAGTCCCCATCAGGGGTGCCAGAGGGTACCTCCTGCCCAGCCCTCTTACTGCTTTACACATTTACAGGCCTCTCGGCCCTGAGACTGCTCATCTCAGTTAACCTGAGATTGTTTCTGAGCCTGCTGGTCCAGCCTCTCTCTGCGACCCCCGTGGCAGCAGGCTCCTGAAGCTCACTGCCTGCTGCGTAGGGAAGTGCCTGCTTTAAAGCCACCCCCTGCGAGATTCACGGGGGGTCCCCCAGCTCTCATACGGTGGGTGCTGATGAACAACAGCTCTGTTTTCAGGCTACCCACTGCCTTCCCATTTTGTAAACCTTTATTATGCCTCCAGCAACCTTCTCCCCTCCACACCAAAAAGCTCCGGACATTTCAGACTCCTCCCTTGACCATCACTGTTGCCCTTCTTCGCACTGTGTTTAACGCCATTACATCCTCCTTAAGGCAATGATGGCACGCAGAGGTCCCCGCCGTACCAGAAATACCCGCGCACAGAACGGGTGGCTCTCATGCAAGGGCAGGAAGAATCCCCAGACTGCCTCCTGCCTCGTGACCCCAACCTCTTGCAGCACAGGACCGCCGCCTCGGCCCCCCCGGCACCCCACGTTCCCAAG